CCATTTTGTTCTTTTTTATAGATTTCTGTTGTCTGATAAAACCCTCCATCTTGTTCTTTATTTTTGTGAACATATGAATACATCATTACTTTAAAGCCCATGTCTGATAATTCCAATATCTAGGTCATCGGTTCACTTGATATATTTTTAATATATTCTCTAGAGTTTTTAAATTGAAATTCTGGACATAGTTTATAAAAATTAAAGGATCTCTGGGTGATCAAAATGCTGCTTTTTATGGTGGTGTTTTCTTTCTCTGTTACAGAGAAGATTGAAATGAGCAGAGGAAACACAAGTCAAGACAATTTTGAAGATTTGAGTTTGAACAGAATTTTGTTGAAAAGCATGCACATAGGCCAAACTTGACTCATGGTATTTTCCACAAAGATTAAAGAACTTACTGTGTGTTTTTCTTCCCAAACATCAAAATTGTTACTGATACATAGTTGCATGTTTACAATATCACTAAAATTACTATGTACCCTTCAACACACTCACTAAAATCAGATAATTTTTTAGTACAAAATGTTTTCATCTTTTCTATTGCTTAAAGGAGTAGATGGGAATCTGTGTTTTCCCTTGAGATTCTACAATTTGGTGAGAGCTCATCCTTGGAGTTTATTGCCACATTTCTTTCCTTGAAATGAAAAATATATAGCTAACTGCAGCTACCTTAGGGACTAAGATTATAATCACCATGTCCCTTCCTTAGAATGCATCCACATGCAGGCCATAGGTCGCTCAGTTTGAATGCTTGGCATTCCTGGGAACTGATGGCATTTTGATAAATGATGCACATACATGATCTGGAAATTTTAAGTGCATTGGCAGAGATCAGGAAATGTTCGTGTTAATAAAAGCATAATTTTCTGGATCAAAGCAGACAAGGGAGGCCAATTTTCTCAGATGAGGAGAGCTGCAGAATCTGTTTAGTAAATGAGAAGAGAGGTTGAGGGAAGATGAGCCCTTTAAATAAGGGCAAAATACTTTATCAGAATAAACCAATTTTAGAATGGCCTATCTTTCTCTCTGAAGGGACACTGTGAGTAAAGGAATGAAATCAGCATGCTTTTAAAAAAAATGCTAAGCAAGTCTACCTGAGCTCCCTAGTGGGTTGGCTACAACCTCAGTCAGTTTATGTCAAAATGTGGAGAAAATGTTTTAACCGAATGTAAATTCTGTTAACTCGACAGCCAGGACTTAGAAGATGGAGAGATAAAAACGCAAAACAAAACATGAGCTTGAGACGAAAGGTAGGAAATAAAGAATAAGAAAAGGAATGAGAATTAAGGGATTAAAAAGTCTTTGAAAGAGACAGTGAAGGCATACATATGTACGTCTTTAAAGAATGTGCATTGTATATTTCATGGACATGTTTCAGATGAGTGATTCGATGGTGAATGAGAAAAAGCAGGGGTGAGTCCTGAGGATGGTGAGCAGAAAAAGAAGAAGGGACAAAGGAAAAGGGAAGAGGACGAAGAGCAGGGGGCAACTTTGGCTTTGTTTATTGGCTTATGTGAAGGGGAGCTGATCACTTAAGACTGAATTGATTGTCTGGGTCCTGAAGAGTAGCATTGGGGTTTTTGTTGTTTGTATTTTTGGCAAGTAAGTCTCAAGGGTCTTCTCTTAATGGCCTCTGTAAACTACCAGTCTCTATCTTTAACAACCATAGTCTACCCTGGGAAAAGGGAGTAATGGGCTTTTCTGCTTGTGTTTACTTTATGTATGACATGCAGACATGAAACCAATAATGCAAGGCAATGTTCGCAGTCCCCCAATAAAAGTTTTAGAAAGGATTGTTTTTCTTTACTGCAAAGCAAGCACATATCCATTAACTAAATTGCTTTATGAAGTTGTAAAAAATTATTTTGGTAAAGCTGGTATTATTCATTTGGGGATTATGTAAAATTAATGAAATTAGTGCTATGAGACAATTATATGTTAAAAAGGAAAATAGTTTCTTACAAATATCAGTAAATCTACAATACAGTGAAGGCACAATACATTCCAGTGAATCTTTTTTTTTTTCTTCAATAGGTTTGTTATACTCAAAATGTACCAGAAACAGGAACAAAAGTATTTTATAAAATAATTAATTTTTATGGGCTATGAGTCCCAAAGGGTTATGTAATCAAAGTGGAAGCAGAAAAGCATAGCTTTGAAAATAATTGGTCATGTCATGACACACTTAACGCATGTGCAGGCGTGTCCCCAGAGAAGGCTAGTGAAGTTATTTCATGTATTTAAACTCAGGGATAAGTTGATAAAGAGTTGTAGAGATTTGCTTAGATCACTTGTATCTTTGCTTCTGGATTTATGGGTGGGATATAAATGAAATGGGTAAATGGGAGTTTGGGGCAGCAAATAAGCTTGTGTTCTCTGCCACATCCAAGGGGTCCCTTGCATAAACTTCCTGTCCCAAGAGTTTTGGAAATGGAAGAACAGTGTCCAGCAGAGGGAGTAGTGCTGGTAGCAGGATCTGATTTAGCAAACACCTTCAACTTTATTGGTTTAGAAGGGCCAGCATCTTCCCATTTGTGGGGAGCTAACTGCAGGCTACAAAATCACTATTTTAACCTCAAGCCCATTGAGCTCAAAATTAAGTAGAAGAAACCATACTCATCTGCCTTAATAGTTATTTCACTTTATTTTTATTAAAGTAGCACATGTATGAATTAGGAGATATCAGGGGAGTGCAGATATATTTTTTTTTCAAAGTTATCTTCAATCAAGAGTAGTTTATTATAATATGTCTTATATTTCTCATATGTTGCTATCTTCCCATAGAGTCAATTTTTTTCCTGACAAATTTATGTTTCACTGAAATGTTGAAATAGCTAAGTCTTTATTAATCTGGCTACAGACTGGTTTTCTTAACTTGGAGATTACCTTTTCTGGTTAATAACAGATCCTTACATTGGCTCTCAAAAAGCTCTACAATCTCGAAAAATAATTGTTTTTTCTAAAAGACTAATGAATTCGGCAGTAACAAAAGAACAGAAAATGGAAACATTAAAATGCCTAAGGAAAAGGAGACAGGTTTTGATCACTGTGGGCTGTGATGAGTGGGGACCAACTCGGTGTCTGTACAAGCATCCTGGACTTGAGAGAAAAATGTAGAGGATGCAGTTACAAATGATTGAGAGGAATTCAGCTCTAGGGAGGAAAAAGGGAATTATTTTTGAAAAGCATAGTTTAAAAAGCAGACTTTACAAAGCCATCCCTATATTTACAGGTGGATTTGTCATTCATTTAAAGATTCAATAAATATAGATTTGAGTAAAATCTTCCATTTCAATTTCCTATACATTTCATCAAAGGGCACACCTTGGGTAAATTTTGTTGCAAAGACAGTAAAAATTATTAAAAATCATGGGTCATTTGATATTTATTTAAACAGAAGTCCTTGCATAAAATATTCTAAGATATAGATAAACCTGGAAAATTATTGTTCTACATAATTTTGCTTTATAATTTATGTAGAAAATTTGTAGGAATTTTACATACAAAAAGAAATAACCTAAAACCAAAATATTAAGCAAACTAAATGAAAAGCTAAACTAAAATATACTAATAAGATGATTTTGTAAATCACATCAAAATGATTGATAGCTTTTAATAGACTTATTTTTTTAGAGCAGTTTTAGGTTTATAGACAAACTGAGCAGAAAGTACAGAGAGTTCCCATACACACCCTCCCACCTCCACAACAGTTTTCTCTATTAATAATATCTTGCATTAGTGTGGTGAGTTGTTTTTACAGTTGATGAACTAATATTGATATAGTATTAACTATTGTTTAAAGTTTACATTAAAGTTCACACTTTGTGTTGTATCTTCTATGGGTGTTGACAAGTGTATAATGACATGTATCCACTATTGTAGTAGCATACAGATAGTTCCATTGCCCAAAAAATCCACTGTGCTTCACCTAGTCATCCCTTCCCTGACACAACCCCTGATAAACACTGAGCTTTTTACTGTCTCCATAGTTTTGCCTTTTCCAGAATGTCACATATTTACAATCATACTAAGCCTTTTTGGATTAGTTTCTTATACTTAGTAGTACACATTGACTTTTACTTCATCTCTTTTCATGGGCTGATAACTCTTTTTTCTTTTGGTACCAAATAATAATATTCCAATGCCTGGATATCCACAATTTGTTTATCCACCTATTGAAGGACATCTTGGTTGCTTTCAAGTTTTGGCAATTATGAATAAAGCTGCTATAAATATTCGTGTGCAGGTTTTGAATGGACATACATTTTCATTTCATTCATGTAAATACCAAGGAGTGTACGATTGCAGAATCATATAGTAAGAGCATGCCTACTTTTAACAAGAAACCACCAGTCTTTCAAAGTGACTGTAGCATTTTGCATTCTTAGCAGCGGTAAATCAGAGTTTCTGTTGCTCAACATCCTTGCCAGCAATTGCCAGTGTTCTGCTTTTTTTTGTTGTTTTTTTTTTTATTTTCTTTTGCCATTTTAATAGGTGTGTAGTGGTATCTCATTGCTATTTTAATTTGCAGCTCTCTAATAACATATCATGTTGAGCATCTCATATGCTTATTTGTACTTGTATGCCTTCATTAATGAGGTGCTTGTTCTGATCTTTTGTTTAAAAGTAATCATTTTAAATTTATAAAACATATACAATAGTCAAAAAGAAAATTTGGAAAAAGAAAAATGCTAAAATCACATTTAATCATACTATTGTTGTTTTTCTATTCTCTTTTTCTGTTATTTTGTTCAAATGCAGAAGGATTTTATGTAATTATTATTATATATGTGCAATTTTATACAGTCCTTTACAAATATTATAACATATCTTGTAATTATTAATATAATTTGTTATAAATAAGTAGATATATTACAATTAACTTAATCATTTCTTTAGGTTACTTCCATTTGTCATGCAATGTTTTTAAAAGCTTTTTTAAAACAAAACAAATTTATAAATCTTTTTTTTTTTTTTTTTTTTGTGAGACTCTGTCACTCGGGCTGGAGTGCAATGGTGTGATCACTGCTCACAGTAGCTTCAAACTCCCAGGATCAGGTAATCCTCCTAACCAAACCTTTTGAGTAGCTGGGACTACAGGCGTGTACCACCACACCAAGCTTACTTTTATGATTATTATTATATTTTTGTGGAGACAGAGTCTTACTATGTTTCCCTGACTGATCTCAAACACTGGGCTCAAGCAATCCTCCTGCCTTGGCCACCCAAAGTGCTGGGATTACAGGCATGAGACACTGAACCTGAACCCTGTAGATTTCTTTTTGAGTTGAAAACTGAATATTCAGCTTACTCTTTTTTTTTTTTTTTTTTTTTTGGTAGATTAAAGTGACCTGTGTTGGAAATGGAGAATTATTTTCTAGATAAACCTAACAAAACATGTTCTATGGACCTGCTGCCTATAAAACCAGAGACTTAAAATATCTTAATATAAACAGGAGATTATAGATAGATATGGATCATTTTAACACGTAGTCAAATGCTGACAAGGTTTTGCCCTGGTGGAGCCCCCAACATATGATATTTAATTTGGTGATTGTGAAAACCCAAAAGATAGAAAAGTGTCTTCTAGGAATACAACCCTATCATAAAAGCTCCATGACTACTCAGTTGTTTGAAGAACTTCTCAAAGGTGGCACAGTTTTGAGCTTTGAAAATTTTAATACGTTCTCTGCGATCCTAGCATTTCTAATTAGAACGTTAACATTTCTTATGACTTATCAGAATTCTGTGTTGACAGGGAGCTCTGTAACCACTTTCCTGTACTTGAAAAATGAGGCCAGGATAGAGGTCTCTGAGCTAAAAGAAGGATTAGGCCAGGAAAAGAGAAAGGATTCAGAGTCAGAGGCTGGTCATTTACTCCATCTCTTCCTTGTTTCTCATTTGTCTTACCAATCCAACAGGAATTTTTGAGAATTAAAGGAAGTACAATATACAAAAGCACCCAGCATCTAATTATCTAAATGTTAGTCTGCTCCTTGGAAAAACTCCTCTAGTTTATGGTTTATTGAAATTCTAATTGTTAAGGTAAGACAATTCTGCAGTATATCTGCATGGTCAGGATTCTATGGGTTACAAGTGATAGGAAAACTCAAGCACTTAAAAAATAACACTAGCCCGAGAAAAACAGGAAATTATTGGCTTATGTCCAGAAGGAACACAGTTGTATATAGGACTTCACACACTATTATTGGGGTTGTCTCTTTCCGTCTTCTGACTGTGTCTTACTTTATGTTGTCTTCCTTCTCATGTCCCTAGGAAATGGCAAAGCTAGTTACCAGATGTTCTAGCTTATATTCTACTACCCGAGTAAACTCTGTGCAAATGCCGTATCTCTTCTAACAGTTTCAGCAAAAGCCCCAGATCTGGTATCAATTGGTTTGGCCTGGATCATATTCATATCCTTGATCCAATGGTTGTGGGTCTGATTGGCAGGTCTAGAAGGGGTCCTTGGTGATCTCTGAAGGGGTCAGCCCTACTGGAATTATGTGAAAGGAAAATGTCCCCAAAAGAAAATGATTTGGCAGGCAAAATGACATGTGTGCATTTTGTGGTCCTTTTTAAGGAACATTGCAGGCGGGAAAGACAGTAAAAAAAAAGAAAAAAAAAAAAATCACATCTATTCTCATTTGTTCTCCCCTAAGGGAATAAAGAACTTCTGAATCAACTGCTCCTGCCACAGGAGTTACACAACAACCAGCCTTGTGGAACAAGAGGAACTGCCACTGTCTTCTTTTTTCATCTTACTACCTGGTCCAATTCTACCTTGTTTTCCTGAATTGTCACTGAGCTTTCTACACAAGTGAGGATGGTGTTTGTAAATCACAGAAAGACCAGTTTATCTGTGGAGGAACCACATAGAGAGTTATTGTTATTTTACACTACGTGAAGGCCAGAGGTAAGCAGGCCAGTACAGTATCTTCATGACTCCATCAGGAACACAGGGGCTTCTGTCTGTTCCTTAGACACTCATAGAATATGGATTTTGTCCTCTTGCACTTTCCCTGAAGATCTCAAGGTATTTTCTCCACTTCCTTCCTTACCTCAGGAAGAGGTAGAAGGCAGAGGGCAGAAGTTGCATGCCAGCTAACTGTCCTCAGAGAGAGGGGTGGGGGCGGCCTTGGCAGCCAGGAGCTGGCCTGGCACTATCAATGGGCCTTGTTGCTAGGAGCTGACCTGGCACTCATGGCTAGGCCTTAGCAACTAAAGAGACAGTGCTAGAGATACCAGAATTATAGTTAGGGTTTGAAGAAAAGGGGTGGAAAAAAACCTTTGACTATTCACAAGTCGAACTAGATTTGACTAACAGTGCACGGCCCAAGTGGACCTCTGTTAATACATTCAAAAAGTTACATTAATTCTCTGTCTAGATTTATGTAAATAGTCTCAGAGAAGGCAATCTGAGACAGCAAATGGCAACTGTGAAATACAGTTTTATTTGCACACAGGAGAACCTAGTTTTGACATTTTCTTAAACAACCAAGATTTATTCTTTAAAAAATTAAATAACACAAGTGATACATAAACACTTATGTACTATAAAACAGTCAAGTATTAAATAATATGAGCATGTAGAGTGAACATTACAGTTTCCTTTCCCGTCCTCCACAGTCTTTCCTTACAAGCAGGAACTATTGCTAAAATATTAGTGCATTTGGTAGAGAATTTTCCACTTTACAGTTGCACTCATAATTTTAGTTTCTTGTGTGTGTGTGTGTGTGTGTGTGTGTGCGTGTGCATGTGTGTGTGTGTGTATCATTGTCTTCCCTTATACATACAAGTTACTCTCTTACCATAACAAGTAGAACGGCTGAGTCTAAGGTTTAACTTTAACCTTTTGGTGACCAGACTCCAAAATGTCCTTTTCCAATGTCTATGGCCACAAATGGTGTATGAAAGTAGTCATTTCCTCTTACCCTCACCAACCCAGAGTTACTCACTCTTCAGTGAAGCACTTGGCACCCCACTGTTGGTTTAATTTACATTTCCCTGATTACTACTGATGTTGAGGACCTTTTCATATGTTTATGGGCTGTTAGGAATTCTTGTTCTATGAATTGTTTATCTTTATTCTTCTTGCTGATTTGTTTGGAGTGTTTATGTAGTATGGATATTAATTCTGTGTTGCAATCATACGAGTTGAAAACATTTTCTCTCACTCTGCAATTTGCCTTTTAGCTTGCCATAACATGTTTTAATATATATATATATATATATATATATATATATATATATAAAATTACATGAAAACTTTTTTTCTTTTTAGCTTCTGGGTTTTATGTTTTACAATGAAATTTTTCTTTAATCCAATCTTGAAGAATTTTCTCCCATATTTTGTTCAAATACTTTACAGTTTGGCTTTAGGTTCAGCCAAGAATCTGAGCTTTCTTATTTGGTATAATGTAGGTAGGAATCAAATGCGTCTTCCTACATGATGTAATGGAGTCAAAATTCTCCAGTTCATTTTCCAGCTCTACCGTTTGCTGGTAGTTCAGAATGACTAGCCTCTTCTGTGCCTCAGTTTTATTATCACAAAGTGTGAATAACACTTTTATCTATCTCATAGGATTGTGGGACTGATAAAATGAATTATTACATGAAAAACACTTAGAATAGTGTCTGGCATATTGTAAACTCTTCTTAATATATGCTAACCACAACAAGAATTCCCCAAACAAAACAACAACAGCAACAAAACAAATCTAAACTCTCCTCTAGTGAATTGATACATCACATTTACTATAATTTATATACATAAATGGGCCTGCTTTTGGATTCTATTCAGTTTTATTGACCTAATTGTGCCACTTTCCTTTGTTTTACTTACTATAACTTTGAGATATATTTGGCGTCTGGAAGGGCATATGCCTCTCATTGTTTGATATGGTTTGGCTGTGTCCTCACCCAAAATCTCATCTTGAATTGTAATCCCCGTAATCCTCATAAGGCCCACGTGCATCCCCATAATCCCTGGGGCAGGACCAGGTGGAGGTAATTGGATCATGGAGGCAGTTTCCCCCATGCTTTTCTGGTGATAATCAGTGAGTCTCACGAGATCTGATGTTTTTGTAAGCATCTGGCATTTCCCCTGCTTGCACTCACTCCTCTGTCCTGCCACCTTGTGAAGAAGAAACCTGCTTCTCCTTTGCCTTCTGCCAGGATCGTAAGTTTCCAGAGGCCACCCCAGCAATGTGAAACTGTGAATCAACAAACCTCTTTCCTTTATAAATTACCCAGCCTTGGATATTTCTTCATAGCAGTGTGAGAACAGACTAATACACTATTCTTTTTCTAAAAAAATTATCCTCCTCATGTTTTTTCTACAGATGAATTTTAAAATGATCTTTTTAAGTTCTATAAGAAACATCTTGCTGACTTCAATAAAAAGACTTAGGTTCCACAGAAATTTATTTAGGATTGTGCTTATATATATAAATTACTTTAGGGAGAATTAATATTTTTATAATATTGAATTTTCCTGGAAGATGGGTTAACATGTGACACATTGTTCCAAAAATTTGTCTTATTTTATGTTCCTCAGCAAAATGTTAGCATTTTCTTCATATCTTGCTTCTGATTGTAAAGTGGCTGAAAAATTCTAGATGTTGTTACTGTTAGTCAGACATAGGAGAATGGGAGAGTCTTGTTGTGTCTTAGCAATTTTGACTTGGTCAAGTTCCCATCTCTGAATTAATTCCCATAACTAGAAGAAAGTATGTATCCACAACTGCTTTAAACTTAATTCATGTCCCTGCCCTACCCACCCTGCTGCCGGAACTCCTGGGCAATAGGGAAATTACCTAAGAAGGCAGAATAAATGGAAATATCAATTATTCCAATTTGGGGGTATACTTTTCTCCTATATTGATATTTGGTTTGATTTCTTTTACTATTAATTAATTTTGCTAGTTTCTTAAGTATTTTCCTCAGGAAGAATTTCTACACTGTATACTTTCTGAATACTTGCATGTCTGAGAGTGTTTCTTGTTTCCTTATTCACAAAATAACAAAATGTTTAAAATATTCCACTGTTGGCTGGGCACAGTGGCTATGCCTATAATCCCAGCACCTTGGGAGGCCGAGGCGGGCAGATCACAAGGTCAGGAGATTGAGACCATCTTGGCCAATAAGGTGAAACCCCATCCATACTAAAATACAAAAATTAACGGGGCGTGGTGGTGTGTGCCTGTAGTCCCAGCTACTCGGGAGGCTGAGGTGGGGAAGTTGCTTGAACCTGGGAGGTGGTGGTTGCAGTGAGTTGAGATCTTGCCACTGCAGTCCAGCCTGGTGACAGCAAGACTCCATCTCAAAAAAAAAAAAAAAAAATTCCACTGTCTTCTTTTATTTTTGTGTAGTAAATGAGAAATTTGATGCCTGCTTGATTTTCTTTTACCTCTCTTTCTTTGGTTCTCTCTTGCCCTTTCACCTTCCACCATGGGATGATACAGCATGAAGGCCTTCATCAAATAGGCACCTTTTGATTTTGGACCTCCCAGACTCCAGAACTGTAAGAAATAAATCTCTGTTCTTTATAAATTACCCAGTCCCTAGTATTCTGTTGTGGCAGCACAAAATGGACTAAGACAGTCGGCTTCCTTGAAATAACCAAGCCTCGTTTATTTTTCTTTGTTAATCTGTGCAAGTTGAGGTTATTATACTCAGCATCTTGGGAAGTGCTGTATTGGCAAACAATGGGGACAAAGAAAGCAGTTAATTTTCCAAATAGCTGGATTCTTTCCAGTAGTCCTTTTCTAGCCCTGAGGAGCAAGAGGGCTGGGATAGTTTTTCTGTGAACTGAGTGGCTCCTGTTACCAATCTTTTGAAGCCCTTAAATAGCCTCAAGATTGAAGTGCTCTGCCACATACTTTGCCAGAGGAGGCTACCTTCCTTTCCATCTGATTCACATGTGTCGTGGAGATTCCTATAAGTTGTATGTTGTGATTGAGAGCAGCTCCTTAGATGTTTGCAGTGTTTCCTTCAGGCTTAAAAAGCATCCTGCATGTCCTCCTGCCTCCTCCCCAATCGCACTACAGGCCTCCTACTGCGTGAGTCACCTCAGCTGTACATTGGCTAAGGAAAGAAGCAACGTATTTAGGCCACTGTCTTCTGAGAATTACCTCTGATTTATCTTTAATTTTTTATTTGTTTCTGAATTAGTCCATTTTCATGCTGCTGATAAAGGCATACCCAAGACTGAGCAATTTACAAAAGAAAGATTTAATTGGGCTTACAGTTTCATGTGGCTGGAGAAGCCTCACAATCATGGTGGAAGACAAGGGGGAGCAAATAATATCTTACTGGATGGCAGCGGGCAAAAAGAGAGGGAGCTTATGCAGGGAAATGCCTCTTTTTAAAACCATCAGATCGTGTGAGACTTATTCACTATCACGAGAACAGCATGGGAAAGACCTGCCACCATGATCCAATTACCATCCACCAGGTACAACACATGGGAATTCGAGATGAGATCGGGGTGGGGACATACCCAAACCATATCACTGTGCCCTTGGCCCCTCCCAAATCTCACATCCTCACATTTCAAAACCAATCATGCCTTCCCAACAGTCCCCTAAAGTCTTAACTAATTTCAGCATTAACTCAAAAGTTCACAGACCAAAGTCTCATCAGAGACAAGGCAAGTTCCTTCCGTCGATGAGCCTGTAATATCAAAAGCAAGTAAGTTACTTACTAGATACAATGGGGGCACAGGCATTGGGTAGATAAAGCCATTCCAAATGGGAGAAACTGGTCAAAACAAAGGGGCTATAGGCCCATGCAAGTCTGAAATCCAGTGGAGCAGTCAAATATTAAAGTTCCAGAATGATCTGCTTTGACTCCATGTCTCACATCCAAGTCACGCTGATGCAAGAGGTAGGTTTCCATGGGGAAGCTCAACCCTGTGGCTTCAAAGAGTACACCCTTCCTTCTCACTGTCTTCACAGGCTGGCATTGAATGTCTATGGCTTTTCCAGGTACACAATGCAAGCTGTTGGTGAATCTACCATTCTGGGGTTTGGAGGCCGGTGGCCCTCTCCTCACAGCTCCACTAGGTGGTTCTAGTCCCCAGTAGGGACTCTGTGTGGGGGTTTTGACCCCACATTCCCCTTCTGCACTGCCCTAGCAGAGGTTCTCCATAAGGGCCTCACCTGAAATCTAGGCAGAGGTTCCCAAACCCCAATTCTTGACATCTGTGCACTCACAGGCTCAACACCACATGAAGGCTGCCAAGGCTTAGGATTTCACCCTCTGAAGCCATGGCCTGAGCTCTACATTGGCCCATTTCAGCATGGCTGGAGCATCCGGGACATAGGGCACCAAGTCCCTAGGTTACACACAGCTCAGAGACCCTGGACACAGCCCATGAAACCACTTTTTCCTCCTAGGTCTCTGGGCCTGTGATGGGAGGAGCTGCCGTAAAAACCTCTAACATGCCTTGGAGAAATTTTTCTCATTGTCTTGGTGATTAACATTCGGCTCCTTGCTACTTATGCAAGT